CAGTCCTCTCCAACTCGGTGAAACTAGGAGTTCACACACAGCGTTAGTACTAATTATTATCACCTGTTCACGCAGCATGTTGGGGTGTGTTTGATATGTTGTCACTTCGCGTGTTCGCCGGGTGGTGCATTAAAAATCAGTGATTAAAGTACTTGCAACCTTTTTGTTTGGGTACAATAATGGGAAACCTCACCCATAACGATGTTATCTTTAATTTTAGTGAATTTTAGTGCATTTATTATTCCCTTACGGCTACCACCGGCCCGGGTGAGAGTACACCCCTGTGAGTGTGTCCTCTCTGGAGCTCTGATCTCCTGCAGCCACAAACACACCACCAGCTCGTTCCCTGCTGTGCCGCTTGCCAATGATGAATTATAAAGTAGTGCAGTGGAGTAGTAAAACAAGCACGAAACAGCTTTAAATTCACAGTTAAGATACTCACAGGTGTACATTTTTTATATTTATATTTTTATTGTAATTTAATGCACATATTTTACATTATTATGTCTTTGTTTAGTAACTTGAGCATCTGTAAGGCAACCCATTTCTTAGTTTTTATTTTAATTTTTTATTAAAGACACTTTATTTTCTGCATCAGTTAAAAACACACAGAAAAACCGGCAAAGGTAGAGTGAGCAGCTGTGCTAGAGCTAACTGCTAAAGTCAGCATGCTAACATCTTAAGTTTATAATTATTGTGCAAATTATTGCTAAAAACTAGTTACAGTATGCTTATGGGAAGCCACATTTTACATATTTTACATAAACAATAGTATATTTTTATACAATGATGGCCGTAGATTAAAAGTGATCAACAGTACAATTCATGAATGTCTGCAACAACTGTCATTGTTTCACAGTTGAGATATATACATGTGAAATATACAACGTGTGCTGAAACCTTTCATGAAATCACAAACACGATACAGTAAAAGGAACCCCACAGCTCAGAACTGCAAGCTCACTTTCACTTTCTACACCGAAGGAGATTTCTGCCAACAAAAGAATCCATTACATTGTTTGTCAGGTAAATTATAGATAGATTTAGACAAAGGTCTAATTCATCAAGCACTTTCACCTATATTTACACTTCAGGTGTTGGCATCCAGTTTGTGCAAGACAAAGTCAAACGACTTATTGTCTGTGCGAGACACACAGTGACGCAACCTTCCCGACATCATGTCTGAGTGAGTGAGTTTCCTGTTTGTCTACAGCGTGAGTCAAAGAGAGATTAAAGAAAGAAAATATTGGTCATCGGTCATACAGCAGGCATGCCACTGCCAGGCTTGTTGACGACGGCCACCTGGAGCAGCGACCTGGCCTTGGTCCGCCACTGTTCCCAGTAAAAAGTGCTGAGGAAGGCCCTTCTGAACCTATCACCTGATAGAGTGTACAGAGCCAGGTTAAAGAACGTGTTGAGTCCAGCCAGAGGCCTGGAGAAAATATATGCTGCATGTGCTATGCGCTCCACCATGCACGGCGTCGCTTGGATACTTCGAGTTTCTATCCGCAACGTACGCAAGAAGTGATATGGCAGGAAGCACACCACAAACACCACCAGGATCAGCACGGTCACGCGCCGCGCCCGCACCCGGTGAGGACTGCCCGTGTGCGGCCCCTTCGCCAGTTGTTTCACGATACCGATGTAACACATGAACACCACCACCAGGGGGAGTAGAAAGCCGAGACCGGTGAGCATCCAGCTGTACCACCGCATGTCATTGTTGGTCTTCTTGGATATGATGCTAGCAAAGTCCATGCAGTAGGTCTTGTTGTTGAGCCTCTCCAAGGATATCACCGTCAACATGGGTGTGATTTCGATGGCGGCGATGATCCAGACGGCCGAGCACGCCATTATGCCCCAAAACTTCTGCTGCACCTGCACCGCCCTCAAAGGCTTCAACACCACCACATAACGGAAAACTGCGAGACACGTGAGGAAGAGGATGCTCCCATAAAGGTTAAAGTGAAAGCCAAAGCGCACAAAGCGGCACATAAAGTCGCCGAGTGTCCACGAGTCCCCGTTGCTGTAGTAGTAGACCAGGAAGGGCATGCTGAGGACGTAGAGGAGGTCGGTGAGCGCCAGGTTGACCATGATGATGCTGCTGCTCTTCCAGGGACGTAGCTTCGTCAGGTAAATGCCGATGGAAGTCACATTGCCCACCAGGCCCACAATGAAGATGACGCCGTAGGAGATTGGGAGGTAATAGCGCTTCAGCAGGTGGTCAACGTTGGTGCAGTTGTGTTCATCTCCATAGTAGAGGATGCTGGCCATGGCTGAGTCCTGTCGAGTATGAGAAGCAGTTTTACAAACAACATTTAAAAATAAATAAATCAGGTTTGTAGCTGGCACTGAGGACCCCGAGGTCATGTCCTTACTTCTCAAGGAGCTCACATTCTGCATTTATAAATTATATTTCTTGACTCAATTTGTGTGAATTTGGTGGTGTTGAGTTAGTTTGAGTGTGCAAAGGTTTTAAAACAGCATTTAATCATCATTTGGGGACGTAAAAAAATTACAGAAAATACATATTTAACACTTGAATACGCAGATTGATTTATTACAACGTGAGAAATGCTCTTTAGTATGCTGCAAAAAGCTGCTTGATAAATCGCTTGTGCGTTAGCTGACACCAGAAATAGTTTTTAATTAATTTTCCGTCACAATTTGAAAACTTTAAAGGTCCAGTGTGTAACATTAAGTCTTTGACTTAATCACCTGAAAATAAGAATTGTTGAGTTTTTGTTACCTTAGAATGAGCCGACACAGAGTTAGCGTTAGCATTAACATCACAGAGTCATGTTTCTGATCATCTGGCTAATGTGAATTAAATGTAAAATTATTGATCAAGTTTTCAAATATGCTGAAAAAATGCTACATTGCTTGTAATGGCTGTTGAGTCCATTCCTGTGAATTCTTCTGACTTCCCCCCAATTCAAGTTGAATACACATATACAGTATATGTTTCTGGGCGAGTAAAAAATAGGCTACCAGCAAATCATCATTCCCTTTTCCCTCAGCTGTCATATCAATGTCATTGGCAATTACTGCTTGAGGAAGGATGGAGAGAGCAGGGAAAGAAACCCAGAGGCGAGCAGACTAGGAAAGAAACAAACAATCAAGCCAACTCAGTGGGAAAGAAGCAAACAAAATCTTCTTCTCCTTTTGTCAACAGTCTGGTTTCTGAAAGCCTCTCAGGATATGACAGTGCCTATGGCATCCTGGCTCTATAGCGGTAATGCTGTCAGTGCAATCTGCTCTCATTATGGATGTGAGGTGTCATTTACACATTGCATGTACACTCTGATTCCAAAAGGCAGCGACTTGTACTCATTAAAATGATTATACTTTCAGTTTTGTGGACACAAATACAAACTCTACCCAAAAGCTGAAGCTGAGAATGCATACAGAGGTGCTGAGTCATAAAGGTACAGTTTGAAAAATAGATTTCTCTACTCACTTTTAGTTACAGTGTCCTCATCAGTGCTCACTCCAAGCATTCAGCGTCTCATCTGTTTTCACATCCATTCCTCCGTCACTCCCCCACCTCCTCTCTTCTCTTCCCTTCTACTCTTCCACACCCAGGGGAAACTCCAGCATATTTGTGTCTGAAAGCCCACTGTTGTGTGCTTCACGTTCCGCCCTGTGCATGAACTTCCTGGTGTCATGCATGAGCTGATAAAGCTCAAGGGTCGCCTTATTTACGCAGATCAGGTTTCAGGTGAATTTGCAGAGAAAAGACGAGGCAAGTCAGGCAGCGTGTTGGTTGCTTCTTGATAAATTAAACTCTCCAGAGCACCTTTTGTTCAGAAATAATAAAGTCAGGAGTTTCTGTTAAGGTCTTTGTTATTTCTTCAAACAGGCGTGTGATTACCTCAGTGTGACACTGCAGAGCTAAATCTGGCACAGCCACAGACCTTGGTTTGTGATTAAAGTAATGATGAAGTTTACAAGAATGTGGGAAATGAACGCTTAACAGTGTCTTCCCTCTAAGTGTTACTGTTTTTCAGACCTTATACCCATGGTATACTTTCACTATGAAACAAGTGCCCACTCAGACTTATAGTTTTGAACAGCTGCCACAGATTTATATTCGCTCTATGAGCAATGTTTAAATCAATACTGGTTAATTCCAATTCAGAAATCACTAACTAACACTGAACACTATAACCAACAGGCCATACTGCCCTACAGAGGCAGAGAGCACTGACTGCTTTTGAGTTTCAAAACAACCTTTTCACAATTTAACCACATAAAACTGGGAAATACATTAAGAGTCAGGAGCTTAGATGACAGTTGCTGCTACCCTGCTAAGCTAACTTCAGGCTAGTTAGCTTTCTATCACGACTAGTTTAGCTGGATAACAAATTAACCAAGATGTTAGCGAAATATATCTGTTTAAATAACAGGAAGTAGCTTTAACGAGGCTAGCCGTTGTTATCTCCAGCTAGCTTTAACAGGAATTAGCTTTGTTGTGACTGCACATTTAAATGATGTTTTCTTTGGAATCATACTTCTATGTCTTTATAATTGTTATATGGCAAAATAAATCAGTTTTTTAAATTTAATTACTGGCTAATTGAAGGTAGCGCAACAAGCAACAGTGCCAGGGTGCACAGGGTGAGCGTGTTAGCAAGCAGTTACAGAGCAACATTATTTTGGATATTTCTTTACTTTGTTTTTTAGCTCTGTTTTGCTCTCCACCAACTGCTGAGCAACATATCCGGCTCTCTAGCTCCCATATGCTCCGCTATGTTTGCCAGTCAGTCTGTCTGTCTGTCCGTCTGTCTGGTGTTTGGTGCTGCCACAGTGGATTTATTAGAAGGTTTCACTGAAAAGCTGTGTCTGGAAACAGTGCTAATGAGACCGGTGAGGCTGAACCCAAACAGTACCGTTTCTGGCTGTGAAATCTGTTTTTATAGCAGATACTAAACTTTGGTTTCACTCAACGTCGCTCAACAACTTTTATTGTTCAAACACTTTACAATTTATGCTGCGCTTCAGTTGACATCTTTAACCGATGAGTTTAACTGACTGATCAACCTTTTCCAGCAGTTTCACTTCAATTTATAGTTAGTTTTGCTACAGTGCTTCGACTCCTCTCGTGCTTTAAACTGGCTCTTCAACTTCTTTCAGCCCGTCCATTTGAACGGCCATTACATCTCTTTTAAGTTACAGTATTAAAGTGAAAGTTTCTCCTTAATATTTAGCTGTTTGTACTTAAAATATCTTCATTATATATTTTCAGAATGTAAAACAAACAGTATATTATTATATATATAGTATATTTGTAGATCAAATTTTCGCATAAAGCAGCATTTTCACAGTCATGGCATTATAAATTCTATACTTGCATCACTTACCTCCTTTACAGCTGCAGTGCACAGGTTCAACCATTCAAATTATTGATTTAAATCTCTTGTTTCAGGATCCTGTTAATGTGAGTAAGTGTAAAAACAACTATAAACACTGTTAGTGTTGCAAGTCAATGTGAATGTGTTTCATTCAGTGTGAGGTTAAATGGTAAAGATATACCTCATCTCTTCCAGTTGTTTCCATTTCTTGAGCTTGCAGGGTAGTAACGACATGACACGTGTGTGACACGTGTTTGAAGATCATTATGCTGTTTTTAAATGGCAAGACTTCAACTGCTATTAACCCAGTTCCTCTTCCTTGTTTACCTGAAAGTACAAAGAAGCTACAAATATATATCTTTTCTCCCTCAGCTGCCCTCGACGTGTTGATATAGCGTCTGTTATGACACTTTTCTGTGGATCACACAAAATCAAAAACATCCAAAGAAGCAGAAGTTTACAAATGTTTATTTTACAAAAGAAGAGCTAGAAATGATGTAAACAGAGCTTTATAGATCAATCTAAATTGTGGCTTCTTTTTGTTATACTGTGGAGATGGTGCAGTCTTTGAAGAGGCAGCAGTGTGAGTGTTTATGGTACGGATAAAAATCGTCTGAGTTCAGAGAAAAAATAATGTCAACTGCACACACAGAAATCTGAGTGCAGACTCCTTGGAGACAGCTCGCTGGGGGAGGAGGGGTTGGAGGGGTTAAGAAAGAAAGAAAGTGGGTCTGTCTACAGTTTGGGCATCTTGGCAGCATTGAGGCGCATGGACACACAGGAGGAACCGGCAGCGTAACGCATCTCCCTCAGCATGCCGCTCCATTGCTTCTTATCCTCCTCATACCTAACAAGAGAGAGGAGAGTCAGATCTCAGAGGAAACACAATGTTAACCAACGAAAAAACACGTAAATCTTGGTCCCTATGACTTACTGCCAGACGTCAGTGACCTCTGTGGGAGCCACCTCCTTGTTCTCCATCTGAACCATAGTGAAGCCGCCCACAGCGTACAGGGAGCCGCCATTGCTCAACAGGTTGACAGAGCTCCTCTCCTGCGGAAACTCTGTGAACGGCTCCCACCTGAGGAGGTACAACATTAGGAGAAGGTCAAGTAAGATGGAGGTCTCATATTAGTCGTTTTTTTTACTTTGGTATATTCAACATTTCAGTTATTTTTAGTGGTTGAGACTCATTTGTGGTTTGTGGAGCCCCAAACTGTTCAATATTATATAAATATAACAAAATAATATACATAAATGTAAAATAAATGAACCAATTAATTGTAGAATAAGAAGAAACTCACTGTGAAACGTTATTTCATCATTCTTATTTTCATAGTACTATTAATTATGTAACTTTTTATTGGATAATGTGGTGTTTCATAATACTACTCATCTTTTAAACAATCACATGTCCAATGGACTGTACTTATATAGCACCTTTCCAGTCTTCCGACCACTCAATGTGCTGTACACCACATGGTGTACAGCGCCAACCTTCTGATTAGTGGATAGCCCGCTCTACCTCCAGAGCCACAGCCACCTATTATGCTCTGTCATATATATATATATATATATATATAATGTTACAGTGTCTGATGTTGATAGAAGGAGGACAATGCATCAAATAATGAGATAAACTTGTGGTAAATGTCTATAAAAGTAATCCCTGTGAGCAAAAAGCTCAGAATTCAGACTTCTCTGAAAGTTTCAGACAGAGGGTGAACTGAGGAGCTGTATGAAGGGCATTATAAAATAAAAAGGATGTTTTTGAAGAGTGAATCATGCAAAGCTACTCAAGTACAAAGAATACAAAGCTGCAAATGAGCATAATAGGTCCCATTTATGAGTTCTGAGTGTTGTGATTGTTGTTGGGAACAAAACAACAATTTTTACAACACAATTCCTCAACTAATAGGTAAATCGAGTTCAAACAGAATCATACTTGTTTGAGGTGAAATCATAGGCTTCACATGTCGCAGTGAGACCCTCCTCGTTGACTCCACCGGCCACCACAATCTTGCCGTTGTGGACGACGGCTCCGAACATGGATCTGGGTGTCTTCATGGCCGCCAGCTCCCTCCATTCTGACTGCTTGTGGTTGTACGCAAACATCTTGTTGAGGGCTTTGCTGTGGAGACAAAGGAGGGAATATAATCATGGGATTTTAAGTGTCAAAACATGAAACATTAAGAGCAGCACATATATAAAGATAAAAAAGTTTAGCACACAATTGGAAATAACAATTTTGAATAAATTGCTTTATAAATGTGATTATGAAAGTTTGTTTTCACCCAAAACCGGTTAGACTAAAAGACAACATTCTAGAAAATGTCATAATCATTACCACTAATTTTACTAATGGACTGACGGCATGTTTCAGCATGAAGACTTCATCAGTGCGTTCTCTTTTTAAAGGACACAGCTTCCAATTAGCAATCAGCAAGAAAACAGCTACACCTTTGAGAAATAGAGAAGATCCACACATAAAATCAAACAATACAATTCCTACACAATAGGAAAAACTACAGTAAATAAATAAATAACCAATAGAAAGATATAATAAACTACCTTTGACTACCTGGTGAAGGTTTGATTTATATCTATATCCTATACATTTGTTAATGTTATTTTGTGTTTTGTATGCAGTGTTACTTATTCCTTAGCCTGAAAACTTATGTTTTTAACTTGAGTCATGCACTGTACTTTTCTTTGTATAAGTAATAATTCATTTCTTACATTCAATTGATTTCTTTTTCCTTTTAGAGGTTTGTATTATTCGGCCTTGTGGATCAGCTTTTTGTCTCACAGGTTTAATTAAGTCCCCGCTGATTGTTAATTGCATGTTGTGTCCTTTAAAAACTCTGATAAAGTCTTGCACACCTTCTTTTGTGAGACCAGTGGCGGTAATTCAGTGCAGGAGAAGCACATGTGTTTCTTCTTGATTAGCTGAAAACACCACATTGATTGATTAGCTTATTATTAGATACAGCATTAAACCCTGGGCTTTGAAGACTCGCTGCACGCACTGCAAACACAGTTAAGAATTACAGTGCACGTAATGATTGGTGGTTTGCTCTTGGGCAGAGAAAATAAGCAGATGCTTTACTATCACTGTATCATTCAACAAGAGATGTGCAGATCAGTATTTTCCATTACTGTAACATATTAGAGCGTCCAGGACTGTAGCAGTGTAATTGTTGTCTATGACATACTGCACAGCCCTGCAGACTGGCAGAATGATAGACCACAAGCAGCTGCAGCTCATGGCGTAAGGTCACACACACACACACAGTTACTCACTTGTCATCTGTCTTTCCTCCAATGCAGTAGACTAGTCC